GGCCCTGTTTTTTTTGCCATCGGCCAAAAGTATGGCCGATCGGCACTATTATTTGGTCGGTCCGGACTTATGTTGGTTGATCGGCCATTTTTAGGGCGAACCCTGTTCATATGCTTTATGCAGATATTTTATGCTAGCTGGCACAGCTGACATCCACAATTCACCCTTCCATACACGTGTATGGAGGGATTTGCCTTGCTTTTTAGCTTCTCGAAGCTTTGCAAATTGAATTTCTACTAAGAGGAGGCCTTCCTCTCTTCTCAGAGGTCTTGGAAAATTAGGGTTAGAAAAAGTATATCTCTCTATCTCTATATCTCCATCTCTCTATCATTTGTGTGTGTATTTGTGACCTAGAGTGATTTTTGTTCACACTATTGCACACAAACACCTAGCATTACACCATCCTTGGTTGCTGAGGTTCTGAAGGAGTTGTTGTTAGGGTTCTTGAGCTGTTTTTGATTAGAGAGAATGTGCTGGTGTTGTGTTCTTGAAGATGTTCTTCAAGGGTGAGCATTCTTACTTTAGATTACCCCTTTCTTGCTTAAGCTTTTAGCCCTTCTTGCTTATTGTTTTAAGCTTAGCTTATTTAATTGATAAAAAGTTCTGTTTTTACTTGCTTTAGAACTTTGTAAGGTCATTTTTGCAGGTTTGGGGTTGTTTACCCCCTCCAAGGCCTTGTTAGGCCTTGTTTTAGGCCATTCCCTTTGGCCCTTGCTTTGAGCTTTGCATTGACCTCTTAACCCACTGAAATCACGAGGATTTATGTGGTTGGGAGAGGTGGTTTGGTGCTTTAAATAAGAAGAGGGCATCCCTTCTCCTTTCATCTTGAATGCCTTAGCATAAGTGGCTTATATTGGTAGCATGTTTGCTTGGCTTGTTTTAGCTTCATTTCAGCAAGTATTTGGTGTTGTTTTGCCATGATTTACCTCTGTTTAAAGTTGGTTTAGTGGTCTCTTGCATGCACCATATACTTGCCTTGCAATCCCTTCATTTGCCTTAACATGTATCTAGCATTTAGACTACCATGCTTGCATGTTTTGGCTTAACTCCATGAATCTTTTAGCTTTGTTTTACCATGCTAAAGCTCTGTTTTTCATTGTTTTGGTCATGCTTGCATTGTTTTGTATAGCTACCATGCAATCTAGCTTGTTAGCTTTGAGTGTCCAAGTCACTAGCATGCTTTACTTGGCTCATTTCAGTGATTTGGCATCACTTGTTATGTTGTTTCAGTCCATGTTTCATGCTTGTTTACTTGCATTTGTCATCCTTTCAATGCTTTGAAGAGTTGATGTTTTATGCCTCATCAATGGGTTATTGTGTATGCTTCCATGTTTAGGCCTCTAGGATGCCATTTTGATGTGTTTTTGGTCTTGTTTTAACATGTCATAACTCTGATTTTATTGGCTTAAATCATACCATGTTTGGTTTTGATAGGTGTAGTGTAACACCTCTTTTGTAGCTTCGCATGCCTCATGTTTTTGGTGTTGTGTTCTAACTTGTGTTGGCTAGTTTCGAGCTTGTTTTTGGTCTTGTTTAGACCTACCTTGGGACTGTTTTAGGTCCCCTTGGCCCTTTGGGGCTTGCCTTGTATAGCCATGGTTTGAGTCCCTTGGTTAGCCTCAAGCTTTGGGCTTTCTTGTGTGCTTTACTTGAGTAGTTTGGTCGATTTGGCATCATCCCTTGCACGATTTCAGAGCTTAACACGTTTGTCACATGTCCATGTTTATCCTCTTTTAAGTGTGCTTAAGAGTTGCTCTACTATACTTAAGTGTTAGGCCAATTAGCATGCATGTTTGTATGTGTTTTTATCTTCATTTCCCTTGCATTTTGGCCACTGATTCGGGCCTATTTGAGAGCTGTCCATTTTGGTTTATGTCCATCCTTTGCATGTTGTTGCATGCTTGCCTTGCATGTTGTTGCATGCAAGTATGTTGCATGCTTGTTGCATGCTTATCCCTTTATCATGTTGTCACATGCTTGTCGCATTTTGTATGTTGTTGCATACTTGTCCACCTTTGCATGCCTTGCATGCTTAAATGTTCATGTTGCATCTTACATACTTGTTTAGGTTACATTGCATTTGGCATGTTTGTCACCATTAGCCTTGTATGGCATTGTCATTAACATGCTTATGTTGCATTGGATTTGCATCATGCTTGAGTTGCTTGCATGCTTGTTTGCATGCTTAGGTTGTATAGCATTGTGTGTGCATCCCTTGCCTCTTGATCAATCATGATAGAGGTTAGGGCCCTTTGTATGTTTTTGTGCATTTCATTTGATATTAATTGCACATTCAGCTCCTTTGGCCATCATGCATTGAAATGCGTGATTGATGGTCTGAGGGTCGAGGACTATACTCCCTTGAGTTCATGACATAATAGAGAGGGTGGTCGTGCAAACATTGTCTTGTAAATGTATTGTCATGCTCTGTTTGTCCTCTGCTGCAGCAACACAGCATTCTGTAGGAAAACATGGCCGATCGGCTATCTTCAGTGCCGATCGGCTAAACATTGTTGGCCGAGAGCCTTACATATGGTCAATGACCATTATCCCTTGGCCGATGGCCCTATCTCTTGGCCGATGGACTCTCGGCATGTCCCCAAGGTGGTTCAGAAGTGTCATAAAAGTTGGCACAGTTTTCAGAGGTATAAAGCAGTGCAAACAGAGGCAACATGTGACATGGCAGTGGATTTCCGAGCGACACTGTCCGAGCATGCATGCATCCCTCTTTCCAAGGCTGTTTTACCTGCTTTCGTAGCTTAGTTAATTTGTTTAATTAGTTAAGTGTTGTGTAATAATTAATTAGCTTGTTAGTTAGTTAATTAGTTAATTTGTGTTATTCTTTCGGTCCCTCCGTCGAGAGGGCCAATTGTTGTAATAAGCGTGCGTGTGTGTGATGCATGTCTTCCAAACCCCCACTTCTTTCTCCCTTTTACTTAACCGATTACGATGGTTACTTTTAGGGCACGTTTAAATTAGCATCCTTATGCTATGCATGTTTGCATTCATTCATCAGTATTGCATGCACTGGGCTCGGCACATCATACTAACTGCATTGTACTTCAATTCCAAGTTAAATACATGTATCGAATTGTCGCACATCATATGTCATCTTAGATTAGCCGAGCCTATTCTAGTTGCATTTTGTATGTATTGCATTAGCCATCTTAACATGGACTTGGATCATACATTGATTACTAACTAGTTTCTTGCTTTGGCTCGGAGTACACTGTGGGTGTTTATGCTTTAGCATCTTGCATGTATGTAAGTATTAATATGACAGCATGCTTGCCATGAGGCTAAGTGCTTATGTGATATAACTGCCTGAATGCCTGTGGGTGAAGGTTGGGTTACTTGAATTGGGACAATTCAATGAAATCCGTGTTTTAGCCTACTCGGGAGTAGCAAACTTCAAACCATTTCCAAACAAATGGATATGCGATGCTTTGTTCCGAATTAGGCAATCTAGTCTATACTTGTATGTTGTGCGCATCACATAGTAATTCTAGCTAATTAACCGGAATAAGAACATGTGTTTTTAAAACAAAATATCATGCTTAGTACAGGCCGATCTTCGGATCGGGCGAGTGGGGGTGCTCATAGATGACCTTCCCCAATCATACCCAAGTTCCCGAGCCGAGGCAACTTTGGTGATGACAGACACGTGGCCTTAGGCAACGAGTCAGGGTTTCCTAAATTCCTCCAAAAATAAATATTTAGGTGGCGACTCTGTATCTGGCAAAGCAGTCCATGTTTGACACTTCTTTCTTAAAAATCAGTTTTCCAAAACGATTTGCCGGATTTGGACTCTTTGGTGATTTATCAGTCTTGCATTGCGTTTTGCGAGATCAGATTAAGAACCGTGACATTGAGTCTGAACTGTAGCATGAAGCCCCAAGGGCGCGTCTACACCCCTCCACATGAAATTATGACAATTAACCCCTTGTACTTCTGATCAAATCTCACTTTGGTCTCTACACATGAAATTGTGACAGTCAACCCCCTGCACTTTTACTCAAATCTCACTTTGGTCCCTACGCAAGTGTCAATGTCCCTCTTCTGTTACTTTATTTTTAAATCTTTATCAAAATTCAATTATGTGACAAAAATGTGACTACAAAATGAGAATAAGAGAGGAAAATCATCCATGTTTCTTACCAATACACTTCGTCTTACTGTGACGACCCCACCATGTATAGTATTTTATATTTGGTTAATTAAGGAGATTTGAGATTTTAATTAGTCGTTGTCCTAATTTAATTTGAAAATTATGAGAATTGTAGAATCTGATTCGTGTATGATTCTGTGAAAGATTTATTTTGAAATTAGAAATTAAGGGTCCAAATGGCTTAAGGAAGTGAAATTAAGAAGTTGAATCAATTTAATTTTAATTACGGACCCATTTGGGAGTTTAATTAAATATTCGTTTCAATTTAGTAAAATTGAGATTCGATTAATTAGGTCCGAATTGGAGTTAATTAAGTTAATTAAATTATGAGGATTGAGAATTGTGATTATTATGAATTAAATTTATTTATGGAGTGTCCAATTTGAATATGTAATTTATTGACGGAAATTTTGAGTCTGATTAGAAATTGAAGGCCTAAATGATTGGAGAAACAAAATTGATGATGTCAATAAGCTTAATTTGATATTTGGAGCTTTTTGGAAATTTGATTAAGAATCTGATTCAGCATGACAAAATTAAATATAATTAATTGGGCCTTAATTGAAGGCAATTAGACTAATTAATTATGTGGGACTTGTGATTAGTTATGATTTATTAAATCATGATCAAGATTAATTAAGAGATGGTTAATTAAGTCAATTATAATCAAAGTTCAATCTCAATTAAGTATTTTAAGCAAGATTAGTTAGTTAAAGAAATAATTAATACACCACCACATGCGTTTATATAATAAGGCTAAGTGTCCCACTAAATGAAAAGAATAAAATAATAAAAGAAGGATGAATGAATGAACTCAATAAGGAGCCTTCAATCTGCTGCTGGAAACAAATTAGAAAAGAAAGAAAGAGAGAGAGAGAGAGAGAGAGCACGGCTGAGAGAGACCAAGAGGAAGAAAGAAAAGGGAAGAACAAAGTCTTGTGGGATATCAAAACTCAAGCTAAAAATTATGGAAAACTCATCATGATGTAAGGAATTTCATCCTTTTTCTAGTATTGTTTAATTAATTTAGACAAAAATTGATTCAAGATGGATTTTGAGGGGATTAAAAATAGTGATTTGTAGATCAATTATATAACTTGTTACAATTTGGGTTTGCATGTAAAATCAAGTTAGGATGAAGAATATGAATTATGATTTCTTAAATTTGTTAAATTTGGGTTCAATTTCATATTAATAGAAGAAATTAGCAAGATGATGAATAAATGGAGTTAGGTTCAAATTTATGGAAGTTAAGTTGAGAATCAATTATGTTGAGTTTGATTTTTGTAGTCTTGCATGAATTTGAGTTCCATTTCTACATGCATGAACAAATTTTGTAAGTTTTAATACTCTAATTGTACATGCATCACAGATTTTGAAGAATTTGAACTAATTCAATCTCACATTTTAAAGAGAAAAAGGAAAAGTTTTGAAAATTAGGAATTTGTTTGATTTTGATCTTTAATCCATGTATGTAATTTAATTTAAAAGTTTTATTCAATTTAAACACATTTTAGAACATCTATGATTATAAATTAAGTTTTTGGTTAAAAATTGAGTTAAGTTGAATTTCTAAGAAATTGATTTGTGTAATTCATAGTTAAGTCGATTTTTGTTATTAATAATAAAATTGGGTTCTATTTTTACATACATCATGAAATTTCAAGAGCTTGGAAAGTCTAATTCATATTTTAAAATTGTGGGTTTGATGATGTAGTCTTGGATAAAATTAAGCCCCATTGTTACATGCATGGGCAAATTCTACAAGTTTAATGCTCTAATTAAACATGCATCATAGGATTTCAAGGTTTTGTGTAACGCCCTCAGAAATAAACCATTATATATATCATTGACATGCATTATTTAAAAAGATCACTTTAATACTTCATTATAATATCCATCAGAGTCTTACTAAACAAAAGCATTACATGTAACATCAAAGTAAATGCCCTGCCGGCTTACATCTTTCCAAGCCAATACTTGGACACAAAAGTATGAGTTCTAACTCAAACATAAATAAAGCCCTAGGCTTGAGTGTTTACATGTACTAACAATGAAAAACAAATAACTAAAAATAGTCTTCAAAGTCCAAGTCCTTCCAAGCTAAATCCTTGGAGGTAGCTTATCACCTGAACCTGAAAATGATGTTCCCATAAAGGGTGAGCCACAGCCCAGTAGAAATATACTAAACCACATATAAGCAATGAATAAAACAATAGCATTCAACAGATGGTTAACCAGGATAATCAATTACTTCATTTTACAGCCTCATGACACTATTGTCTAAGATACGTTTTACTTTCCAACTTTATCAACATGGCTCAGAACCTAGCCAAACTTACAACAGTGAATTATATATATATCATATTCACATTCTTCCAATATCAACAAACAAATAAGATCAAAACTACATTTACTGCTTACAGGTTGGCTACTATTTATGTTGATGAAATTGTCCGTTTACACGGAGTTCCGGTATCCATTGTGTCGGATAGAGATCCGAAATTTGTATCTAGATTGTGGAAGAGTTTGCAGGAAGCTATGGGAACAGAACTAAGGTTCAGCACTGCATTCCACCCACAGACAGACAGGCAGTCAGAACGAACGATACAAACTTTGGAAGATATGCTTCGCATGTGTGCCTTAGATTTTCAGGGGAGTTGGGAAGATTACCTGCCACTTGCAGAATTTGCTTATAATAACAGCTTCCACTCCAGCATCGGTATGGCACCATACGAGGCTTTGTACAGGGAGATAGAGTTTGCTATTGAAATTGTGCCAGGCACCCAGCCTATTTCTAAAGCTCTTTACAGAATGGCTGCTACTGAAATGAAAGAATTGAAAGAACAGTTGCAAGACCTGCCTAGCAAAGGGTTTATCTGACCTAGCACTTCGCCATGGGGTGCACCTGTATTGTTTGTGAAAAAGAAAGATGGAACCCTACGTTTGTGCATTGATTATCGAGAACTGAACAAGGTAACAA